AGAACGGCTTTGCTAGGGAGAGGATTTCTTCTCCGAAATCTGAGAGCAATGTCAGTTTTATTTCCCCAAACCTGAGAGAATTCAAGTTTTCTCTCCTTTGTCTTGCTTAGACCTCTTGAGATGAATGAAGAGAAAAGTTTCTCTTGGGATGGTGAACGTTGAAGGCCAGCAAACAAGAAAAAACAAAATCTGAAGTGAGCTTCAGATTCTTCTTTGGCAGAGAGCTAATTGAAAGAGGGGAAACGTTGACAGAGAGGGAGAGGGGCGGGTAGATTGACGAGATTGATGGGCTGTGGTGTAATTAATTCCTAATTCCTGTAACGGATCAGCAAAATAAATTGGGAATTAAGGCTTCCGTGAATTCGGCCAAGAGGGGTGGGGAGATTTCAAATTGCTTCCAAAGAGTTGGGGATGATTTAGGAAACAATTCCTATTGGAATTATTTGCTGGGGCCTGCGGTTATTGAAGAGAGAGAGGATTTTTTTTATGGCAAATCCTGAAATAAATTTCAGGATTTGAAATTTGGGAGAGAATTTTATTTGAAATTAATTTTAATTTCAAATGGGTGAGGAATTAATGGGGCAATTAAAGAGGGGGAGCCTAGTAAGGCCGGCGGTATCAAGAGAGAGGGATTTGGTGATGGGAGCAAGTAATTGGTTTCCAAATTGGCTCATGTGGTTTAGGAATGATTGAAATACAATCCGTTTGAATTTGAATTCCCTTATGATTCGAATTCTAAAACTTTCCTAATTAGGAAATTCTAAAATTGGAAAGATATGAAATTCGTATTTTGAATTTTCAAAATTGGAATTCGTGGGGGATGGGGAATGAAGTCGACGGTCGAGAGGCGGCGGCTAAAATGGGGTTAGGGCCGGCGGGTTGGGAGAAGGGAAGGGAGCGGATGACAGGATAAACCACGAGTCACGGACTCTTCCAATGACTGGTGGGTGTTGCTTTTCGCCCTCACCTTGGGCTCTCGTTCTCCTCTCTAATTCTCCACACAAGAAGAAGAAGAAGACAAGATAATCAAAACAAAATTTTCATTCATAATATTCATTAACCATGATACAAAGCATGAGACCCCTATAAATAGGTCTTCAAACATAAGGAAATAAAAGTACTCAAATGCCCCTTGGGCTACAATAAGACATAACTCCCCACAGGGGTAAAATGGGAAAACAGTAAATAAAAGACAATAATAATGAAATACATCATGACATCTAAATCAGAAGTAGAGACGCTGAATCGTGGCCGTCGATCTGCGGTTTCGCCGGCGGTAAACATGTCGGTAGCGTCTGCCGATGTCCTCATCATATATATATATATTTATATATAGTGTCACAGCAATATCACATTCTCAACTCTATATGCTTTGGTTAGTACCATAGCAGGTAAGGAGAGGCGCTTACCCTGAGAATCTAGTTGGTTGCTAAAATAACGCTACATTGCACGAATCCCACTTTGTTCTAGAGTATAAAAGTGCATAACCATGTGGTCAAAAATCCCATGGGAAACAATTCTTCATCTATACTTGGCACACTGAATCTGTCTGGATTGGAAAAGTGGCTCGGCTGTCTCTTCAGACAATAATCCTAAGTCGAAAGGATCACATAACAAGGCAGCATGTTGAGATAGGCAAACCTCTTTTAGAAAATTGTTGATTCAGATATTCATAGTTATGGTAGGTTGGGATCGCATTGATGAGCTTGCTAATCGATAATTATGATGATAATGGCCCGCCCAACAACTCAGGGTAAATGGTTAACTAAACTAACCTCCCTCATTGATGTCCATTTGCTTAAGGTTATCTACGAAAGAATTCATCATTGGGAATGTTGTTGACCTACACTCAGATTATATATATATATATATATATAATCATTGCCCGCCGAAGCCCATCCCGAATCCCTTTTCAAATCTCGCTCGGATCTCTGCAAACGATGTCGTAGTTGTCCATTCACGCGTCTTCAGCTCAATCTCGCGCTTGCTCTACTCCTCTCGTTAAAAGCAAGAATGAATAGAGCCTTCGGCTCCTGTTCGACGCCTCTCTTGCTCACGAGCTCCCTCTTCTTCCAGCTCCTCCAACCCCTTGTCCCTTTCTATGTCGTGTAGAGGATTCAAATTCCAAGCTGCAGATTAACCTTCCACTACTACTTTAAACACCCAAACCAACCTCACTCGACCCTCGTCTCTTGAAAGCGCACATAATAGCATCGCTCATAGCCAATACTAGAAGATACTAAAATGAACATAATTCGCCTACAGTCGATATTAGCTCGCGAGCAAACGCATTGGGCCACTGCAAGTTATAAAGGGTAGTGTATAATGCACACACATCGTACTGTGCATAGACAAGTCCGACAAATCCATAATGTATACAAGTTCTTAGGTGTCATTGTAAAAGACTTCTTATTCATGATGTAGTCCACCTACGATGATGGATAGCGACATGCAACCAACACACAGAATTCCTTGCAAATCATATACAACATAGCATGTGATAAATGTTAACATTTGTTAAAAATAATGGAAGATTCCTCGTATTTACAATAGTGATAATCAGCAATAAAAAATGGACGCTACAGCACCCTCACAGTCAACGATCATTCAGTGGAAGGCAAATGCACAAATCCCTTGCAAGCCAAAAGGTGGTCAATTGGCGACAGTTGCGAGCTCTTACGAGCTGCTGTAGAAGACTCGTTATTCATCCAATATATTATCTACAAGCAAAATGCAAGAGGATTGCAGCAAATACAAGCTCCCATGAGCCACTGTAGGAGACTCAACATGTGCACTATATGTCATATGTAGTAAAATATAGAAGAACTTAGCAAATGCAGTATTCTGTAATCAACATCGAGCTGTGGATGAACACATCTACCTGCCTACGAGCTGCAATAGCATAAGTAACAGCCCCAGCATACATATCCCTAATGACTTGAATGTATTATAAATCCCTTTCTTTTCTAGAACTCTCCATAGCACTTCACTTGGAACTTTATCATTTGCTTTATCTAAATCAAGAAATATCATATGAAGATCTTCCTTTTTCTTGCTATACTTCTCCATCAAACCTCTCAATAAATGTTTGGATTCCATAGTTGACCTACCCGGCATGAATCCAAATTGATTTTGAGAAACATTAGTATCACGTCGTAACCTGTGCTCCACAGCTCTCTCCCATAGTTTTAAAGTATGATACATCAACTTAATTCCTCTATAATTTGCACAATCTTGTGCATTACCAAAAAATATGTCTAATCATATAAAATGAAATAACTGCATGTAGTTCAACTAAATGCATCAAACTCATAAATTTGAGCTTCAATAATGTTGTGCAAACTAAAATAAAAATGAATTTAAATTTTACTCATCTTGAAAAGTGTGCAAGTGCACAGTGTAGATGCATAAAACTACATTGAAAAGAATGCAAGTACAACATACAAATGCACCTAAAAGCATTTAAGCACCCCATGTAACTGCATTAAAAACACGCAAATACATTAAAAATCATACAAGTAAATGGTGCAAATGCATCGATAAGCATGGGAGTGCATCGTGCAAGTGAACCAAAAATCTTTCACCACACATGGTCATCATACAAATGCATTGAAAAATGTGCAAGTACATCAGATAAATGTGCAAATATGTCATGCATCTATAGTAAAAAATGTGTAAGAGAAGGTGACCTACAGTTAAGAGCGGGACGGCTTGCACATAAGAGAAGGTAACCTACACTTAAAGTTTGATCCTCCTTGCAAAGTTGGAGTCGACAAGACTTGAACACTATGAAAGATGTTTATACGCCAAATCTAAAGACATGAGATTTTGTTTTTGCATTAGCATTAAGTTTTAATGCCTCTTACAAATGAAACTTATTTTAAAATTCAAACCCCCAAAGTCACACAATTTCTTTTTTCATGGATGTCTCAAACTTTGTGCCATCGCCTCGTGTGCGAGCAATCCTGATTTTACATTTGTGTTGTAGATAGGCCAATATAACTTTTTCTGATAATTTCGACACTCTGGACGCATCAGCATAGTCTTTTTGTGAATAAGCAATATTTGAGCAACTTTGATTTTGGTTGAGGTGTTTGAAGTCGATTTTAATATTGTCGTGTAAATCTTTATTCGATTCAATAAAATCGATCACGAGGGTATTTAGGTGTTCTAGGCATGTCAATGCAATTAATGTTATGAAACTTGAGACATTTGAATACTTTCAATGCAAGCAAGGCATTAAGAAACGGTCTTGAACAAAACCGTGTCCGTCGTCCACCACTTTCATTGCATTCAACTGATTTGGGTTTTGGAATAGATGTAGAGTTCAACACATTATTGTTCAATAAAAAAAAGGTGTTGATTCATTCTACATCTTCCGATTATTGGCAAAAGATATAATTTGAAAGCCTTTATTTTTATTCTCTTGCAAAAATTTTTAGCACGATTTCTCATAATGTTTCAAGGATTATTTGAAATTGAGGAAATCAAATATCCATGTGCAATATGATTATGCAAATGATTAATTTCTACCTTTGAACAGTATGAGTGTAGTGACACCTATGTCATATCAGATATTATGCTCAAAATTTGGAACTCTCTCAAGATCCTTTTTATATGGAATATGAGCCTTCTAAGACCTCCTCATTATTAGCCCCAAGGATATGTTCAACTCCTCATCTACATGCATAGATGCATGATTGGTGATCCTAACCCTCCTAATATGAGAATTACTCATCTCTTCGCATTACTGAAGATGTCGATGACCAAATTGCATAGTTGCCTTATGATTAAGATGGGTGTCTTCAAAGTATTCATCATTTGAAGGATACTTTGTTCTGCATCATTTGATATCTAATTTTATTTTTGTGATTTTTACTTTTATTTTAGCTGTTCTTCATAATTTCCCTATGTTTTACTTAGTCTTTTAATTGGTTGCAAAATTATGCTTTAATTAAAAAAACATACATGTAGTTTTACAGAAACGTTGCTTCTTTCAGATTGGTTTTCAGGCAATTGCAGAAGCCCTTGGAATTGCTGCTGTCAAAGCAATGGTTGCCATAACTGCCATAATTGCAGGCGGACGCTTGGTAAGGCTCTCTCTTTATTTCTCAGTACTAAAAATGGCACACATGCCACTTTCCTTGGATCAGCAATTCATGTTTTGATCATTCTAAAGAATTCGTACTTCTATAGTTCAATGGATCATTATTATTGTTGCGCTATTGTTACCATCTTTCATGAGACTTTTATTTGCTGAGAATATGTGAAATGGTTTTAGTTCTTGAAATACTTTTTATCTGAAATTTTGCTGAATAAAAACAGAACCACCGTGCTCTTGACTTCTTGTGAGTTTGTATTTTGGTTGCGTGCATTTTGGAATCAAATTAGCCCAACTGTGTATTCAACGAAAATGTGCTGTTCAGACGTTCAGAAATTATCATGGCCTTATCTTATAGAATTTATGCTATGCATGTTTTTTATCTCAATGCTGGTCTGATAATTCAATTGCGTATTTTTTACCAGAAGACTCTGTACGACTTGATATAATGCATTTATCCATCTATTGTTATATTGCTGAACAGGAAAATAAAATTAACTTTTTATTTTTGAAATATGAATTTTCCTTTAGTTGTCTGATGCTTTTGTTATATTTTAATTTAGTACTTACTTTGCGTAACTAATATATTTTTCCAAGATCTGAGAGCTATTTTCTTAGTTCTTCCCATAAGATATATATAATTGTTCATTTGACAAAATCTATAATCTGGCAGCTTCTTCGGCCAATTTATAAACAGATTGCTGAGAATCAGAATGCTGAGATTTTTTCTGCCAATACCCTCCTTGTCATTCTTGGAACAAGTCTCCTTACAGCTCGAGTATGTTCAACCTAGCTTCATCATTTCCTTTTTATTGGCTTCTTTATAATTCTAATCCATTACAGGCTGGACTGTCTATGGCACTGGGAGCATTTTTGGCTGGTCTCCTCTTGGCAGAAACAGAATTTTCCTTGCAGGTTGAATCAGATATTGCTCCTTATCGGGGCCTCCTTTTAGGCCTATTTTTCATGACAGTAAGTGTTCATAAAAAATCATATTACTTTAATTTGTTTTAGGTTATTTCATTGTTCTCTCTCTCTCTCTCACACACACACACATTAATTAGTTGTTTATTCTCAATGTGTCATCATGAACACAATTAGAACCTCATTTTTTAAATTTATTTTACATTTTTTCGTAGGTTGGGATTATTTTTTCGTCATATTTCTTGCTTTCTTGTCCTTTTTATAGTATGATGCACCAGCACTACAAAATAATAAAGCATATTATGTCGGACAGGTGCACCTGCTTGACATGTGGCTGACATATGTCAAACATGCCATCTACGTGTCCAATTAAATAATAATAATTTGCACATATTACACACGTCCTGAAAAAAAATTAAGTTTAAATATACATTACATTAAATAACTTAGGTTAAGCCATCTTTTTTATTTTATTTTAAAATATATTATTGAAATAACTTAATAAATACTTGACACTATATTTATTTTTCTAATTATCCTCTTTTTTCTTATGATTTTTTTATAATGTTTATTTTATTAAATACTGATGTAGAACGGGTAGGAGGCTTTGCTAAGGAGAGGATCTCTTCTCCAAAATCTGACAGCAAGTTCTGATTTCTTTGCACAAAAGAAACGGTGGGATGTAGAGAGAATTAGGGAATTTATTTCCTTATTCCACTCTCAGCCTTGGGAAGTAATTAATGGCTTGAGCTTTGAATATCACAGCTGGTAGGCAAGAGGAAATATTTCCAAAGAAAGGTGATGGTTTTAGGAAAGAATTCCTACCAAAGGAGAGCAAATTAATGTAGACAGATTTTGAGAAAAACCTGTAAGGAGGTTGACGGGAATATGGGGAAGAAATTAGGGAATTAAATTCCTAATCCCCCTCTCCAGATTTTGGAATGTGAGGGTGACGGGAATATGGGGGGGAATTTATTTCCAAAATATAATTTCAGGTTTTAGGAAATAAACTAGAGCTTGGGCCTTGAACAATTTCGGTTAGGAGGAGATTTAGGGACGACGATGGTGGACGTAGGTAGAGGATGAAGACGACGGTTAGGAAATAAGAAATAACAAAACAAAAACAAAGATAGAAGATAAAATCCGCTAGCCTTGGACTCTTTCGAAGACTGACGGGTGATGCTTTGCCCTTCTTCAAGGGACTTCAAGTCACGAGCCCGGACCCATCCTGCGGCTGGTGAAAACTCCGATTCTTTCCCATAGGAATCTCACTATCGTCCTCTCAAAAGAACACAAGTGTTGAACACAAATTTTTAATATCAATCATCCATCCTCTTTATAATAGCTTAAGGCCCTATATATAGGCCACAACGTAAGAAAACTCAAAATACAAAATTGCCCCTTGGGCCACAACACTTACATAAATCAACCTAGGGGTAAAACATGAAATACATCAAATAAGAACTAAAATTCAGAAAAATAACTCATAATTGAAGATTTAAATTATAGTCGTCGATTTACGACGCCTCCTGTGATAGATGCACCAAATCTTCGTACCGATGTCCGCATCATAATCAGTTTTCTTAACTTCAGGCTAACAATCTATAATATCATTTACTATTTCTTATTTCCTTGCGTTTAAGGTATTTAATAAAATTTGGAGGGGAGAAGAATGATAGAAAATTGCTACATCGCCACCAAGATCTCTACTTTGATGCCAAAAAAAAGTACTTCTAAAGGAAGGTCAAAGCAATAGGACAAGGATATAAGGATTTTCTTCCACAGGATAGCTGAAAAGATTAACTTTTCCAAGAAAGGGGTTATTAAAGTAATGAAGCACATGATTTGCAAGAGAGTCACTGACATTATTCTAAGGGTGTGCAAAAATCCCAAAGATAGTTTGTTAATTGTTCAACCCTTATAAAAAGGCTAGTAGAAGTATACCTGACAACCATTTTTGTCAGCTTTAATGTTGGTTATGGATTTAAGCCTTATTTTAGGAGGAATTTTAGTGAACAGATTGTATTGATTTATATTTGCACCTGAGGTCCATCGCAGATCAAAAGTTGTCCGTTCTTATCATCAAGTGGTCTCGATGATCCCTCGTATTTCTTTGTCAACATCCAATACATCTGATATACCTTATAAGTTTAGTAGATCTTTTGAAGATGACATACCTTATACTTCTCCTGATGAGTTATACTATGGGGATTGCATTCAAAATTCATATTTAGATGAGATGGCTTTGGGACACCAAATATTAGGGGTGTAAGTAAATCAAGTCGACTTGTAAGCTGGCTTGATAAATGGCTCGTGAGCCGAGCTCGATGAGCTAATGAGCCAAGCTCGATGAGCTAATGAGCCAAGCTTGAGTCAGCCCTAATTCAACTCATTAGCTCACTAGTCAGTTCATTTGAAAAATATTAATATAAAATGTACTTAAAATATATTAGCATTCAAGATTTTAACTACAAAATTATAAAAGATGCTTAAAAAATATATCTCAGTTTTGTATATTAAGTCGTTATTTATTATTTTTCTTTTAATTTCTCACTCATTTCATTATTTAATTATAATAATTGTTTGAATCATAATCATTTTCTATCTTTCGTAATAAATAATTTGGCTCGATCTCGATTAATTACTCAAGTTCAAGCTTAAGCCAGTAGTGATTCGAGCTTGACTTGACTCGTTTACACCCCTACCAAATATCCAAAGAGTATGAAGAACGAATGCAGATCTAATGTGCCTCTTTAATTCTTAGTGAGACCGATTCAAAAAATAAAAGAAAGCAACCTATGGAGATTGATGGTCATCAATAGCATGATAGGTTACTGCCAATCAATCATGCAATCGGTAAGAGTATTGAGGAAATGATGAAATATCTAAAAGATAACCTCAAAAAAATACACAAGAAGGAATACAAAAAATGAATGGATGTTGATAGAAAGTTTTAACCATGATGAGGATTATCTCTTGAATGAGGAGGAAGTATTTGTAATTCAATATGACAAAAGAGGTTCATTTCTACCATTAGACTCTCGTATAGGCGTGTTGTTAGAAACTCGAGTGGAAGAGAGGGATGGCATTCTTCAAATCCAATTGTTACTTCAACAATTGAAAGCAAAAGGTGATCATGTTCATAACATGGAAAGAAGGTTGAATGAGATGGTAGAAACCATGATAACTCTGACAACATAGTTTTTAGGGTTTTAAAAGTCCTCCATCATAGTAGATAAGCATTCAAGAAGTATTGAGAAGGTCCAAAAAATGTAGATAAAGTTGATGATAAGATAGGAAGCCAGAGTAAGAAGGAACATTGATCCGTGCAACAACAAGCATCAAAGGAAGATTTGAAGGATTACATTAGTCAGCAGATCAAGATGTACATGGCTCAAACTCAAGGAGGTCCTTCAGTTTAAAGGGTAGATCATGTTCATAAGAGTTTGATTTGTACAATATCGAAGGGATTTGTTCCTCCTTCATTGAAGTTACTTGATGGATTGGGGAACCCATGTCAATATTTGGCTTATTTTAAAACTAGGTGTTGTAATGTGGGTGACAGTGATGCATTATTATTCAGACAGTTTGTGAGCAATTTGTTAAGTGTTGCATTTGGTTGTAAATTGAGTTCCCAAATGTTTCGGTAAAAATACTTGTAAAGTTGGAAGCTCCGATCATTTAGAAATTTGTCGGAGCTGACATCACATCATAAGGAGAGATTTGGTGGTTGAAAAACAAAGACCTAATGTGGGATTGGTGGATTACATTCTTAGGCGGAGTATCTTAGCATAAAATTTAAACCATGATTCCAGGCACAACACACTATTGAGATTTTGCTAAGAAATATTCATAGTCAAATAGTGTTTATGCTAAAAGGATTCACTAATAGGACTTTTAAAAATTTACTTAGCAATGTATCTAGTCTACAGCCTGAGGCCTCCCAATTATTCTTTCTCAAAGATATCAATAATAATACCAATTCAAATAGAAAATTGTTGAAATAAAATGCAATGTGTCAGCATTATCTTTAGACAAAGGGAAACTAGTTCAGATTACGTAAGAATAGCCTAGAAAGAAGAAATAAGAGATGGCCAAAAATCCTGACACAAGAGGATTGATGAAAAAAATCAACGCCAACAACACAAACATCAAGCCTTTATTCCACTACGTGGGGTCGACTACATGAATTTTTTTTTCATTGTGTCATGTTAAGGATCAAATTCTCATTTAAATTTAATAAAGAAGAGTCATTTTTAATATTTTCTAACCAAGTCTTTTTAGGTATATCTCTACCTTTCTTAATGTAAGCCAAATCTAATACATCTACTCTCCTAACTGGGTCATTGGATGGCCTCCATTTTATGTTACCAAACTATCTAAGGAGACTCTCTCTAATAATATCTTCCACTGTAGCTACTCCAACCTTTTTCACATATATGCTTGTTTCTCTAAGGATAAAGCCACTCATCCACCTAAGCATCCTATCTCGCAACACTTAACTTAATATTATACTTCTCTTTTAATGGCCAACATTCTGCACCATAAAACATTGCTATTCTCACAACCATCTTATAGAATTTTCTCTTAAGTTTGAGGGGAACTTTTCTATCACACAACAAGCTCAATACATTCTTCAACTTCAACCATCCAACTTGAATTCTACTGATAATATCCCCATTTTTTTCATCATCTCTCTGAACAATAGACTCAGGATATCTAAAGCATGTATCTTATTAATGACTTGATTGTCCAAATTCACAATCCCCCACTAGATCTCTTACTACTAAAATTACATTCCATATATTCAGTTTTAGATCTACTCAAACGAAAACCTTTCGACTCTAAGGTTGACCTCCATAATTTAAGTTTACCTTCAACTCCCCCTCTAGTCTTATCAATAAGAAGAATATCATTAGCAAAAAACATACACCAAAGAACAACCTCTTGCAAATGTCTAGTGAGAACATCCAATGATTAAAGCAAAAAGATATGGGCTTAAGGCTGATCCTTGATGTAATCCAACTGAAATAAAAAATAATTGGTCAAATCACCTTGTGTTTGAACACAAGTAACAGCTCCGCATGCATATCCTTAATGACTTCAATATAAGCTTTATTTTCCCTTCTCTTTTCTATAACTCTCCATAGCACTTCTATTGGAACTTTATCATATGTAGATCTTCATTATTCTCTCTAAACTTCTCATTCAAACCTCTCAATAAATGTATAGCTTCTATAGTAGACCTACCTTGCATGAATCCAAATCGATTTTGAGAAACATTAGTATCACGTCACAATCTATGCTTTATAACGCTCACCCATAGTTTTAAAGTATGACACATTAACTTAATTCATCTATAATTCACACAATCTTATGCATCACCTTTATTCATAAAAATAGGAATCAACACATTTATTCTATGCTCATTTGACATCTTTTTAGTCTTCAAAATAATATTAAAATTTTAGGAAACCAAAAAATTCCTTCATCTCCTTAGCATTTCCACATATCTATTGAAATATCATCAAGTCCAACAGCTTTTCCACTTCATTTTTTTAAAGCTTCTCTAACTTCGGTTTTAATAATACGCCGAAAAAAATTTATTTTAATTTAGGGGGCTGAGGTTATTAAAGTCAATCGTATATTATTTCACTAAATTGATAAAAAAAATCAATTTGTAATATTCTTTCAGGAGAGATGCAGAAAAAAAATTTTCAACTTAAAGTGAGGGATAAGAATTACGAATTTCCTATGCCCAAAAGACTGATGTTGATAAAAGTAATGAACGAAACTATTCCCCTTATCACATGATGTTGGATCTTGTGCTGGGGATTGCTATATCTTCATCTACTGGGTTGAAAGTGAAGTCATTGCTGGTAAGGTGACCCTTCCTGTTGCATTCTTAGCGAACCCGAGACAGGAGTTTGCTACTGTCGTTTATGGGGAAATGATTCTTACCTAAGGATAGAAAGCAGTATCGGCAACCACAGCTTCTTCATCATCAGTAGTATCTAGCCCAAAGGCTGGAGTAATAATTTTCTTACAGTTGTAAATGTATTGTAGTTATCTCTTTTTAAATCATCTTTGAAAATTTTTAATAAATTATCCAAAATCATGTTGGAGTTGTGAAAAGAAACTTTAAAGCCCATGCAAAAAACTCAATGGAACTTTCAAAAAAAAAAAAAGGTAACTCGATGGAAGTAAAATGGTGAAACTTCATAAAAAGAAAGTTATAATAATGAAAAGCAAAGCAGAAAAATAAAATAAACAACTTCTACTGTCAAACAAGTTATCTCTCATGATGGCAAAGGAAATTACCCCAAGTTTCTCATTCTCAATGCTGCTAGTGATACAGAAACTTTTCTTCTTCAATGATGACAACGACTATTCTTAAGGATGTTCAAATGACATAAAATTCCTTTCAAAAGTCCAACTCCTGTGTATTTAAAATTGGAATTATCTAATACATGCAATATATTATTAATATATTATTAAGAGCGTATGTTTTTTTCTTCCGAGTCATTTGAAAGTCTCACACTTTGAAATCATAGTAATCTTATCATACAATTAGAGACATCCATTGCAAAAATTTGATGCATCCGATTTATCAAACATATTTAAATTTTTTTGAAATCATGCATGCCCTAATTTTAATGTTATTAAATAGAATGGATGCTTTGACTATAAAAATAAATCCTGCTTTTTGATTAAAAAAAATTTTTGGATGCTTTGATCTTTCATTTGAAGATCATAACTAATTACGTGGAGAATGCTACTTGTTCTAATTAGATTTATGGGAATGTGCTATGGTAATGTTCTAATTATACTTAGGTAAAAACAGTGGTAATGATTTTAAGGAATGCATGATAGCTAGATTTATGGTAATATTTTCCCAAAACTAAGTATGGCTATTAAGCTGCAGCTGAATATGTTAGCATATTTAGCACTGGTACATGCAATGAATAAGGCATGGGAAGTCTTATCCAACCTCCTTTATATGTTTTTATTTACCTAATAAAATAAAAAAAATTGCTGCTAGAATAGAACTAAAGGATTAGAAAAATGGTGAACATACCAAAGAAGGCTTAGATATAGCCACAAAAGATGACACATATTCTTTGAGGTCCTAGAAATAATGATATAATTGTTCAAATATTAATATTGCTGCCTATTTTGTTCCACATAGGTTCCAATTAATGACTAAAGTTTTTACGTTGTAATATTTTCTTTGGTTAGAAAGTGTGCCATGTCCTTCATGTTTCAACTTTGGAATAAGTAGCTTAATTGCCTTACATGGTTTCTGAGGAATGCATAATCACATGTTTTCTGTCATTAATTATGAATTTTGTACCTGCTTTTCCAGGTTGGAATGTCTATTGATCCAAAGCTGCTTCTTTCCAACTTTCCAGTTATCGTTGGGACTTTGAGTTTCTTAATTTGTGGCAAGTGTATACTGGTTGCTTTACTAGGTAAACTTTTTGGCCTTTCAAGTATAGCTGCTATTCGAGTTGGTCTTCTACTTGCTCCTGGTGGAGAATTTGCATTTGTTGCTTTTGGAGAAGCTGTAAATCAGGTGTGTTTTAATCTTATGATCCAATTGTACATAATCATCTTATGACTGGGATTTGCTTTTTTCATGGTAGTGTAGGTTTGCTTAGCTTTTTGGATTGGCATAGCTGAAACTTATTCGTTATTGTTTCTTGTTAGTTACGTTTGCTTCTATACTGTTTCATACTGAGCAGATTGAGGAAATAAAAGATGTGATATATTGTTACAAAGCTATTGTTTTTCTGACTAGATTTGGCTGAAGTTTAGTGCGTTTGCTTTATAATTCAGGGCATACTGTCTTCTCAACTATCATCCTTACTATTTCTGGTGGTTGGTATTTCAATGGCTGTTACACCGTGGTTAGCAGCTGGAGGCCAGTTGCTGGCTTCTCGATTTGAGCAGCTTGATGTTCGAAGTTTACTTCCAGTGGAGAGTGAGGTAGGTTTCTCTACAGTGATGGCATAAGATTATTTTGGGATCCTGGTATACTTATGATTTTTCTCCATGGTTTTACTAGGATAGAAGTTGATATATTTTGCATTGTATGTTTTTAACTATTTTTTATTGTAGTATTGGTTGTAGTGCTGAGTTTGTTACTTCTGATTGGTTATTCATGCATTTGAAGAAAGCTTTAAGGCAACCCATTGCTTGTCTGGAGAAAACCCTTGCTACATCCACTTGTAATATGCAGGAACCAAACATTAACAGCCTATATGAATAAGTTTGTTCGACTAATGGAGGAAATATTGTAGCAATATATATGAGACAAAAAGCTATGTATGTGTTCATGTTTGAGATATCGGTTATCAAATCATCCAAATTTGTTTCTAAGTAATAAGAATGACTGAATCTTCATGTATAGAAATATGATGAGCATCTATGTTACAAACATCATTACTTTTCTCATGATTGCTGTATGAACAATAAAATATAATGTATCAATTCTTTGTATACTATAATATTAATCATATTATCTTTGACCCTTAAAAACAATGTAAACTTGCATTTGTAGTTTTTATTCATCGTTTGTATTTATGTTTTGGTGCCTCGTCTTCCTTTACATATTTAACAAGTGGTGCACCTTTCCAGACTGATGATCTACAGGACCACATCATTATATGTGGTTTTGGTCGAGTTGGGCAGGTAGTTTTTGCTCTCTCTCTCTGTCCTTTTTTCTCCTCCTGATCTTGTCTTCACCCTTTTTTAAATTTTTTAGTTTTTTAGTTTTTTAGGAGTACATTAATTTGTTGGAGATGGTATTTGGTTTTTTTATGCTTTTCCATTTTTTTTCATTATCATGCAGATTATTGCTCAACTTCTTTCGGAGCGTTTGATTCCATTTGTTGCTCTCGATGTTAGAAGGTATGATCCTCCATCTTGACCATATGGGCTTCAATCTCAATCTTTTTGATAAGTTTGGAAAATTAATTAGGTTCAAAGTCTTGACTACTTTAATATGCATCTATCTGTTTTGATGTCATTAATGATTCAAATACTGCTCGACTTATTTGGAGTAATTAAATTTTTAATTTCATAATCAAAGACAAAATCCAGCTAACCTCAATTTAAAAACTGGTATTGGTTTATGGTTGTCTAAAATTTATCTCTGTTCTTGGATGGATTAGTGACACCGTTGATAAAAATAGGACAAGAAGCAATGGAAAAACAAGAACAAGAAACAGAGAAAATCTCAATTTAGAAATCAGCTTAAAACCAACATGACAAAATTGGCCACTCAGCTGACTTATGTGTTGGCAATGGAAAAAGACTCAGACGTTTGAAACCCTCAAAAGAAAAACTGATATGAAACATCTTTGACTGGCAAAACAAATTCATCAAATTGATTAAACAAGACTGTGTCCGATGACGGTCTTGCGTAAGGGTGGTGTTGGCCGCCGATGCGTGGGTTTTCCCAAGAGCGGTTAGGGTCGCTTATTTACAAGGACTGGCGGTTAGAAATTCCTTTTAATCCTTTAATCGATGGTTGTTTTGACTGGTTTTTTATGGAATCCAGATGGATTCTTGCTTCAAGAAATCAGCTCCTTTAGAAATTCATAAGACAAAAATCGGTGGACAGCTCTTTGTTTTAAGGAATTTAGAGAATTAACAAAGTAGGTGTTAAATCCCAGTCATCCGTTGGCCCTTGATCCCACATCCAACATTGGGATCCGTGGGACGCTCACCTGTTAAATCTCAACCGTTCCTTACCTTTTGATCTTATGGCGAGCATGGGGATCCATGGGAGGTTCACTTAGATCACGTCGATCTCCTTCCATATTTGGGTGGCTAATTTATGAAGGATCATAGTAGGGAAACTATGCATGATTCTGTAATTATTCATTTCTTTATTAAGATATCGTGTATAGATATATAAATAGGGATATTTTTGTATAATAAAATTAAGCATTTTCCCTCTCCAATTCTCTGAATTTAACATGGTATTAGAGCAGGAACTGCGCGTGTGAAGTGCCTGAGCAGGGATGATCGGCCCTCGTGTGTGTGTTGGAGCCAAACCGAGCAAGGAACAAGCAGTTGAAGAGTTATTGTGTGTGAAATCTAGCTTAGCCGAAAAAACCTGGGAGCCTCTTGTGCACCTGTTTGCTTTCAATTTTGTGGATTTGGAAGAATAATTAATCGGCTTTCCTACTGTCCCACCACGGCATTCGCTAGAATTCAGAGGAATACGTGTTCCCATCACCGGCCTTCATTGTCGGAATTCTGTGAAATACAGGTTCCCACCATTGTCCTTCATTGCTGGTATTCTGAGGAATATTGATTCTCACCATCGGTCTTCATTGTTGGAATTCTGAGGAATACTAATTCTCACCATCGACCTTCATTGCCGGAATCGCTGGGATATATGAATCAAAGGAAGCAGAGAGGAGCAAGCGACCTTCATTGATCTTTGATATCAAACGATAGTTGAGCAATCCAAACCGCTTGTGCCCTTTGTTTTGTGCCTACGACCAGAAGAAGCAAAGTAAAGAGTCTCTTGTGCGTCTATGACCGAGAAGAGATCGAGCAGGAATGAGGAGACAAGCAAGAGTGTTAGACCTGCACTCCCTCCTATGATCAGACCAGAGGAATCAAAGGCTTTGCATGCACCTGTACTGGCCGATCGAATAAGAATATGATGCAATCAAAAATTTGGGAGAGGGACCCAAATTTTTTATCACAAAAACAAACTCTTTCTAGGATTTAGAAGATTACAAAATACCCAAAATAACACAAATAATATAAACCACAACTTTATATAATAAAATGAGACTCTTACAAACTTTGACTTTCAACAAATCATGACATTACAAATTTTTGACTTCAAAACAAACAACACTTACAACCGACTCAAACAAGACACCCTAAAGTTGCTTCACTTAGAGAAGAGGGATACAGGTGGGGTGGTCACTTGCGGAGAGACGAAAGAGATTAGAAGCCCGAGAAGAAAGAGGAGAAGCTCGCAAGCTTTCCTAGACAAGGAGAGGAAGAAGTGGCATAGCTCGCAAGCTATCCAAGAAAACCCTCAGGTTTCTTTCCAAAAATCATTCATATAACCATAACTCTTTTTTTCTCCACAACATCTTCTCATATTTATAGGCAAAGAAGAAAGCCCAACAGCCAATGCACCCATAATTCCCCCAATAAACTTTAGGGATAGGAAAAGCCAAAAGACACACTTCAGTTCCAAAGCAGCTGCCAGCATCTTTCCAGAAAACAGAGAAGAAACAGATCACGGGACCAACAGCCAGCCACGGAACAGTCAGAATTCACGGGAAAAGCACCAAAACATTAAAGGAACAGCAGGTCCAAGGAATCCAGAAAACGAACAGGCACCCCAAGCAGCCACGGCTGCCTAAATTCCAGCCAATTCTTCTCCCAATGCCACAAGACACATCTCTCAAAACAGCCATGAAAGGAAGAGAAAAAAGAATAGGAAAAGGCAAGTTCTACTTACCAAAATCTGCCATAAAGTAGTACTAAAACTTCAGCTTATAATAAGCTCAACTTCACAAGATATTAATGAGCTTGCACTACTAAAATTTCAACAACTAAAGCTCAAAACCGAAATCAGCCAAGGCTCCCATAAAACCACAAAACAGCCCAAAGGATAAGGTGGAGATGAAAGCACAAGATAATGAAGAGTAAGGAGAGGGGGAAGATGAAAAGACACAAGGCAAGAAAGTAAAACTCAACTTGTGTTGACCCCCCTTTGTCTACATCAGAATATGTTTAGATGGAGTCATATTACTTGGGAAGAAGGAGATATGCGTGTCCAATGCTAGGTCGCTTGAGACATGTTTTCTTCTCTTGTTCTTAAAGCTTGTCGCAACCCTAAAATCTTTTTTTTTCCTTTTTAACCGTTGTGCCTTCATTGTCGACCTTCCCTTGAGAACCAAGAGGGAGACGGACCCTAAGGATAATTAATCCACTTTCCTTGTTGTCCCACCATCGACCGTTATTGTCATTTGCGGTATCTTGAGGGTTATTATTCAACACAACATTCATTGCTACCTTGCACCTTGCAAGCGTGATTGAGATAGCCTTCATCGCTATGCTTTGCTGCAATAATGTTTGAAGCTAATTCCCCCCAAAGCTTTGACCATATGAAGAACTCTATGGTGAACCAAGAGATTTGATAACTTTACCTCTTTGGAACTAATTACTGAGCTAGGAATGACAGATCTATATTCCTCAGCTTAAGGGGGAGTGTTAAATCCTAGCCGTCTATTGGCCCTTGATCCCACGACCAACATGGGGATCCGTGGGAGGCTCACCAGTTAAATTCCAAACGTTCCTTACCTCTTAATCTTATGGCTAGCATGGGGATTCATGGGAGGCTCACCTAGATCACGTCGATCTCCTTCCATATTTGGGTGGTAGATTTAAGAAGGATTATATTAGGGCAACTATGCATGATTCCGTAAGTATCTGTTTCTTTATTAAGATATCTTATATATATCTATAAATAGGGATAATTTTTTATAATAAAATTAAGCATTTTTCCTCTCCAATTCTCTGAATTTAACAGTAGGAGAATATAGAACCTGTTAGAGATTATTCGGAAGGCAGCCAGACATTTCTTGAATCAGCTGGAGTCTTCTTCCTGGGACGGGCAACTGAAATGTTGTCCTTTGAAAACAACCGATCGCCTCACAGAAGGGAAACTTTAGAATGCTCGGTAAACCAGCTCTTGACGAGTCAGCCTGTTGGAAATCAGCCCATGGCGGTAGGTGGCTATTGTTGACGGAGAAGATGCAATATATGATGCAATAGGTGGCTATTGTTGGCGGAGTTCTATACTCCACTAAAAGCCCTCACTTCCTCTCCTCTCAAGCTGTAAGGGAAATTCACTCCAAGGAATGGGATTTCTTCCCTTTCCTTTCAAAGTTTTACCAATTCCAAAAAAGTAAACCATCAAAGATCCTTCCTATAGGAAATAAGAGGTATTTATAGAAACCCCATGACCAATAAAAAGAAACAAATTACAATCCTGTCCCTACTTAAGAAATATAAAAAAAAGGCAAAATAATAAAAATAAATAGAATAATAACATCCTACTTTAAAAAATTAGAAATAGATCCTTATCATGTAAATCTTTTTTGTTGTGAAATTTTTGAGGCGGAGGCCCAATTTTATTAATAAAAAATACTGTTACATGAGGTATAAAAATACAAACGGAAAGAGTAAATAAAAAACCATGAGCAGCATCAAAAGTTAGAGAAACTCATGGACAAACTAAAAAGAAGTAGAAATTCTGACCCAAAAACCGGACTCATAATGTGCCAAAAACTTGCACCCAACAGAACAAAATGGAAATAAAACAAAAGGTTCCCTGATTGCCAAAAACCACATGTAGATCCTCATGAGAGTTGATTTTTATTTGTTGCTTAGATTGTTAGAAAGGGGGAATAGTAGATTTGATCTCTGTTGAATTATATGAATAGTATAAGCATATATGTGCTTATATACAATAATGAAAATTATAATAAATGAGAAAATCCTCAATAATGAGGGAATGTCATGATATTCATCATCTTAATAATATGATTTTTCAGGTTATAATATGAATCTGGTAATACTCTAATGCAAACTCAAGGAGACAGAAAATATCAACTTGTGTTTGGAAGTAGTGATCAAAGATGAAGTGGTTGAAGATTTGTTGTCCAAAATTTGTGAATGTTATAGGAGCATGAATGATGCTCACAAGATTTGTGAAATAGTTTGATTTGGATCAATGGTGTAGCATAGAGATTCGTATCAGAGAAGGTAAGGATTAGATCAAGGATGAACTATATTAAAGGAAGGATGCACTACAGCATGGGTGTGAACAAGAGGCGTTGATCGAAGGTTTTGATAAAAGCGTT